CCCGGCGGCAATGACGAGAAGACGTTCGTCAACAAAATATTTACTTTGTCATCGCCCCAGTCATGGATAATTTGACCCATGACATACAGATCTGCTGGAGGCAAGGGATCTTTGAAAAAATCACCTGCTCACAAGAAAAAACAACAACCCAACTTAGTAAACTATTGACGAACTGGATTAAATACATTTTAATTGTTAACAACGGGTGGTTTGAGAGTACTACTCGTATGTTGTGCTTCATTTTTATCCCTCGGTCTTTCTGTCAGCTGTTTTCGTTTTTCTTAGCATTAAATCACCTTGAACGGGTCAAACATTTTGTATTTATCTAAATCAAAAGTTTTGTCAACAAATTTTTTTGATAAACAGAAATTGCAGCATTTAAGCGAGCACATTATCTATAATTCTGGTTTGTCTTTGTTATGAATGTAAAAGAAACCGAATAAGGGATTTATAAAGAGCTGCGGGGAGATTTATTAAAGAGTATATGAAAATATTTTAAAAGCATTTTTCCTTACATAAATGCATTTTATCAAGCCTTGAGCCCTTAAAAAACTCTGTAGTATGTTAATAAAAAGTAAACTTGCCTAGCTCGTTTGTTTTGAGAAATATCCTTTAAGCAAAAAAGAAATTGATAACATAATAATATATTTCAAAGCCCACTTCCCCTAAAAGTTAGAGATCACGAAAGTGAGATCCTCGATTTTTTAAACTTCTTATGAAACAGGCGTACTGTGTTGTATCGTGGTTGGGTGCTTCGCTATCGCACCCAGGAGACGTGAGTTCAATTCTTGTGCGGGGAGAATGTTTATCGAGTTTCTTCTTCTTTCTGCTGGGATGTCGTAACTCTATCAGCTTCGGTTGGCCCTGACAGGAAGGTCGAAGCGGGCCGCCTCCTAAATGATCTATATTGTGTCGATGGTGGAGTAAGACTTCTACAAGTGTATTACATTACATTTATAATAGATAGCATTTGTATAACGCAAATTAAGACCCAACAGTAAGTTCTATGCGCTTTACGATTTATATTATTACCCAAGCAGACTTGATTGCATTCTCAAACAATCTCAACTTCCTGGAAAACAAACAGTGCAAGCTGCCATTTAATGGCGCTAAAACACTAACACACTGATAAGATCTTTCGCTGTCTTTGGTCGGGTACCCATTCTCACCTGGGTGAAATGAGGAAAAGTCGAGTAAAGCGCCTTTCCCATGGACACAACGTCGACTCAGAGGCTCAACCCCCCGAACATACAACTTCACGATTACGAGTCAGGTAGCCTAACTACTAGACTATCGACACCACGACAGGCAACAAAGGAGGATTAAAGAACTTGCCCGAGGCCACCTTGAGAGATGTGGATCTCCAGTGATGAATCCGCTCCTTGAGCTCCTCTGTCACACAAGGCTGGTCAAATATGGTGACACTCTTAAGGTTGGGATAGTGATTGGCCAACAAATAGGCCACGTAGCCGGACCCACCTGGGGAAATCCAAATATAAAAACAATCTACACACATTTAGTGATTGAGTTCACAGTTCTCAGTTACGTCATAGACATGAATTATAATGATATCTTAGACCTGACACTGTCATGGCCACTGCTCTTTGCTGTGTTATTTAACCCTATCCGTACGTCGTGTTTTATTATCGTATCCATACGACGTGGAAAACTCTCTGCCACCACTTAAAAAAAAAAAATTCACTCGTTAATCCGATCCGTACGCTTTGCATAGCAGTCTGTTAAATGATTTTTTGAGAAATACTCAAAGTTTTAAAGAGATCTTCATACTAGAAATATTCTAAAATGTGAAAAATACAACTCCGGGGGTACAAAATGACCCCAGGGCGTACGTATAGGGTTAAACAACGCTACGTTCGTGTGCACCATGGAAGCACATTAATCAAAATGAAAACATCAGTCTCGCTTACGTCGAGAGCATGAGCAACATTTCCCCCATTGCCTTCATTTGGTTCCAAATAGAGTCAAATTGTGCTCCCCGTGGTGACCAGGAATTATGTCGTCAGAGTCCACAGTCTTGTCAATTGTTTTACCTGTTTTAGTAAAAGTTTACGAGCTCGAAACTTCTTAGAAAGGTGGTTAGGCAAAAACTTTGATTTGCCCCGTTTAGCTGACACGATTCAATCTGAAAAGTGGCTGCAACTATGTTTATGTTCCAGTCGGCATAATTTAGACCACTTCGGAAGAAAGCTGTTTCGATCAATGGTGCCTATCAGAGTTCAGACTTTTTTGGATACATTCCAGCAGAACGAAGAAGATATATAACGAAATGTCTTCCCTATGAGGGAGTCAAAATGCGTGTCTGTCTTTGTGTGCAAAGCGATGAGTCTAATGATTATCTCCCTGCAGCAGCTAACCATAACAACAACAAAAACAACAACAATAATAATGATAATACTAATAATGATAATGATAATAATAATAATAATAATAATAATAATAATAATAATAATAATAATAATAATAATAATAATAACAATAATAATGATAATACAACTGATAGGTTATTTGGAAAGTGGAACATTGCGTGTAGAGGCTGAAATACGGAAGAAGGAAGCAGAGAGGGACATAAATGGGCATATGCAGCACGCCAAAAGTCAATGTCAAAAATGTGCATCTGAGTGCACATGTTGGCAAGGGAATATTTCAGAATTGGATGTATGGCATCTTTTGCCGATATGTAATAAGTAATGCGTAATATTTTCCCTCGCTGGACAGAAAGGAAGATATATACGGGCATTAAGCGGTTTTTTGGGTGGGGGTGGGACTAGTCAGACCCGACGTCTGGAGATAACAAACGAGCAGTTACATAATAAAAGTGCAGACGATTAGACATGGTACTAGAGAATAACATAGCAAAAGAAGGAGGAGATAGATCTAATTATAATGACGACAGATATTTACTGGGTGGTCGCGAGAACCCAGGTGTGGTTTACTCATTGTTTCCTGTCAAACAGCTATCTTCATTATCTGTTCTATAATGGTAGGTAAGATCTACAACTAGACTTCTCGGACAAGGGCGAAAAATGTCGGAGGTCCCGTGAGCGAGTTGCACTCGTAAAAGATCCCTTGATGGTCTAAAATCGATAAGAATAAATCTCGGCCGTCACCCGGGCAAAATTCAAAATTTCCTACCAACTGAAAATGTTTAGTGAGTCCTGCGCACTTATACGACCTTATGCAGTTGCGAGCGCCGTAAAACACATACAAAATAAAATTTTTAAAAACCCACCTGTATTCTTTTGCTCTTATATAACCTTTTTGTGTCACAAGTGCAGTGAAACTCTATAACTAAAGTGGCCTAGTGGTTAGACTCTCGGACTCGTAACCGTAAGGTCGTGGGTTCGAATCCTGTCAGAGACCCGACGTGTGTCCTTGGGAAAGGCACTTTACACGAGTTTTCCTCACTTCACCCAGGTGGGAATGGGTACCCAGCTATAAACGGTGAAAGATCTTGTCAGTTTGTTAGTGTTTGAGCGCTTAATCAGCTGCTTGCACTGTATGCTTCGCGGGAAGCTGAGAATGTTTCTGAGTGTTCTATGGTCTGCTGGGGTAATAATATAGTGTAAAGCGCATAGAGCTTGCTGTCGAGCGGGGTTATGCGCTATACAAATGCTATTTATTTATTATTAAAGCTAAAACTAAAACTAAAGCAAGCATGCTCTGGGTTTCTGTAGCTTTTCTCTATTACCTCGCGACGCAATAATCAGATCCCTGACACTGTTGAAGCGGCTGGACTACAAAGGAGCTATCGTTTTGATCTTAGTTCTTTGATCTTTGACTCCTACGGCGGATCCGACAAAAATATAAACTGCTAGAATGGATATCTGATCTTATGTACTAATGGAGCTAACTCCAAGTGGGTATTCTTAGCCTAAAAGCTTGGAAACCAAGTAATGCTTAAAAATTTGAAAGTATTGAAACCCTAATCCTAACCTTAATCCTAATCCTAATGCTTTTCCGAATCTTGATCCTAACGCTAACGCTAACGCTAACGCTAACGCTAACGCAAACGCTAACGCTAACGCTAACGCTAACGCTAACGCTAAACCTGCACTTAACCTTAATCCAAACTCTAACTCTAAACCTTACCCTGTAACCTAAAAATAAAGTACTGTTGGGGTCTGTGAGACGCCCCCCCCAACCCCCCCACCCCCCCCCCAACAACAACACACAAAACAAACCAAACAACAACGGCACACACACACACACACACACACACACACACACACACACACACACACACACACACACAAAGCTTAGGCTAGTGTTAACGCAGTAGTAAATGCTGGTATTGATATATCTAAAATGTAATCATTAAAGTTATAAGCTTATCCACGTTGTCAATAAGCCGTCATCGGTATAGCTTCTAAAGAGTACTCCCTTTTGGACCTATAAAATAAACAGCGTCACTTCCTTTGCTACTCTTTACACCTCCATCTGGCTTAGAATAATAATATTAAGCATAATAAATTAATAATTGTAATAATAATAGTAATAACAGTAATAATAATAATAATAATAATAATAATAATAATAATAATAATAATAATAATAATAATAATAATAATAATGATGATGATGGTGATGATACTACTACTACTACTACTACTACTACTACTACTACTACTACTACTACTACTACTACTACTACTACAGTAAAGTAAAGTTGTTCCCGCATCCGATCCGGACATTGGGGATTGCCTTGTTTGTGAGACAACTTCCTGGGCCTTCGGCATATTGTGGCAGGGTGGCCAGTTCCTTTCCACGCCGCCTTCACTTCCCCAACTTGAAGTCAAGTACCCATTACTGCTGGGTGGGCAGGAGGGGGTGGAAAAATCGGTGTCCAAACCGAGGCTCGAACCCGGATTTTCCGCTTCGGAGACAAGCGCACTAACCCCTCTGCCACCGAATAATAATAATAATAATAATAATAATAATAATAATAATAATAATAATAATAATAATAATAATAATAATAATAATAATAGTTTCGTCCATCAGTGTCTGACGATGACCGATGCATCTACAGACCAGAATATTTCATTGCGAAATGGGAAGAAACACAGGTTAAGAATATGAGGCTTCTCTTATGGCTAATGAGACCAATTCTGGCAGAGAAATATTTCCCACATTTAAAGCTTTCAAAAGATTTATTTTCACTCGAGGTTGTTCGCAGCTTGCATGCTTCAACTGGGTTAGCAAGGTTTAGGTTATAGAGAACATCTATGTCGTTGTTCAAGAACAAGCACACAGAGACTTCTTCTAAATTATTATTGAGCGCTGCAGATCGAGGCGAGTAAGCGCGGTTATGTTAGACCACAGCTTTCCAGCTGAACGGGCAAAGCTCCCAAAGTCCAGAGCTCCAATTTCCATACATAATACATACAGAGATAGGAGGTCTGCGTACGACAATGTTGATCCACCATCCGTGTTCATACCCATCGACAGAGCCTGCACACAGACATACGTATGTATTATTTACCGCCGTACAATGCTAGTTGTTGCGTCGCGTTACGGATCGTCTGGTATTTGTCCGCCGAAAGTGTCGGGGCACATGCAATGTAGTCATCCAATAATCCAAAATCACTCCTCTGAGAAGAATAGAGTGATCTTTTCTGTATTCATATTTTAGTAGAATTTGCTGCAAAGCACTCAGGCACAGCAGGCCGTCATAAAGGTCTCCCGGTCGTTGGCAGAAAGGTCACTTTTGTAATGGGGAAGACGTAAGTTCAGTTGGAAGTGTCGGATGTCGTATACTTTCACTTATTAATATGGACAATTCATGTTTTAATTCCTAATAATATAATGTGCCTCTATTCGCCTTTTTTGGAATGTACTTGTTTTTACATCTCCATGGACACAAAGAGACAGCTTATCACCTCTATATTCATACCAACATTATGTTATCCGTGCCAGACCTGGACCTTAAACAAAACCCATGAAAGCAAAATCACCGCAAGCGAAATAAAATGTCTCCGCAAAACCCTTAACATCACAAGACGAGACAGGCAGAGAAATGAAGAAGTAAGAGCAGCTATCGGCACTGAGTCCTGCCTGTGTTACATAGAAAGACAGAGGATAAAATGGTTTGGCCACCTGTTACGCATGTCACCTGACCAGCCAGCCTTGAGAGCCTACAACACCAAGCACTCAGTCTATAAAGGAAGAGGAAGGCCACGCAAAAGGTGGATCGAGGGTGTCAAGGAAACCCTAAGAAAACATAGCATCACAACTGAAAGAGCTGCGGAGCTGGCCTACCATAGAAAACTGCATCTCCCCTCGACGCTTAACGGCAACAGAGGATGAAAAAGTAAAAGTAAGTAAAAGTAAATACTTGTTTTTACTCCCTCAACAATACAATCTAGATCATGTAGGACGCAGGTTTCCGACCCTACCTGTCAGGGCCAAATCTAGATGACAGGGACACAATAATAACCCAGTTTCTTTGTTTGTTTAAGTAGAGGTTTTACGGCGCTCGCAACTGCATAAGGCCACATGAGAGACAAGGGATGGATGTCAACAGAGAAGTCCTTACAGGGAATCACACTTACTCTTCTCACCTCTTTAGCTTCAACAGCACAAAGTCTGTTTCGACTATCAAGGCACGCCGGAAGCGGGTCACAAGAGTGAGACAAATATTCCAGTTAAAAAACAACAACTAAGTAACTCGATAAAATTCTTGCCCCTTGGGAACAGAACTCAAGTTTTCTGGGCGCGACATCAAAGCCTTACAGTTATACCATCGGAGCACACGAACTATGCTAGGGGTATAAAGATTTACATATTATGGAAATTACATGTTTTTAATTCTTTATTGTATGTGCCTTTAGTGTTGACTGTTACATACTTATGCTACTAGACTTGTCCTATTACTTAATAAATATGCTGTTTCTGGCTCTCCCAGCCCCAAACGTTTGAGACTACCATCTTCCCAACTCCCCCTCTCTCCCTCTCTCTCTCTCTCTCTCTCTCTCTCTCTCTCTCTCTCTCTCTCTCTCTCTCTCTCTCTCTCTCCTCCTCCTTTCCTCTAACTATTGATCTATCTCTATCTGTGCACCGCTCCACCCTTTGCCTTTTGTCTCCCGCAAAGATATAATGTTCTGTAGCGGTTAGCTGTTTCGCCTTTGCCCGCAGGAGACCTGAGTTCGATTCCCGAGTGGAAAGAAAATTCCTATCAAATATATGAGCCTTTGTGCTTTCCTATTTTAATTTGCCTTCTTTCTTTTTAGTATTTCTCTCTCGTCGCTCGTTTTCTCCCCCCCCCTCTCTCTCTCACACACCCTCTCTTTCTCTCTCTCTTCCCCATTCCTCTCTCTCTTCCCCATTCCTCTCTCTTTCTCCTCCCCCATCTCTCTCTCTCTCCCTCTCTCTCTCTCCGTCTCTCTCTCTCCCCCCCTCTCTCTCTCTCTCTCTCTCTCTCTCTCTCTCCAGTTCGCCCTTTCTCGTTCTCTCCACCTACCCCCAAGGTCCACGGCATGTGCGTGACTGCTTAAGTCAAAGGCGACTGGAATCAGGTCAGCAGCGGGGATCTTGTAACATTCCAGACCCCGATGGAAGCCCAGAACTGTGGAAGAATCAGTTAATTAACTTGTGGCGTGGGTGGTCTGATGGTTAGACTCTCGGGCTCGTAACCGAAAAGTCATAGGTTCCAACCCCGGCATCGATTTAACTTTGTGTAATTGAGAATAAATCTTTAAATGGGAGGTGGGAATGGGTACCCGCCTTTAGATCATGTCAGTATGTTAGTGTTTGAGCGGTTAATCGACTTTTTGTATTGTACGCTTCCCGGGAAGTCGAGAATGTTTCTGAGTTATTTAGGGTCAGCTGTGGTGATACTATTTGTATAGCACATAAAGCATCATGCTACACAGCATGGATTTGCGCTATAAAGATATTCAATTACAATTTTTGAAATGTCCACTTGCGAAGCAATCTTGTACCGTCTGTATGCAACGGTGGAGAGTCCAAGAGCACACCACAGACGCTGGTACATATCAAAAGATTGCTAAACAAGTTTTCAAAAATAATTAAATAGGTTACTTCAGACTCAGTCATCGAATGAAATATAATATAATAATTTTTAACTTTTTATCGTATAAAATTAGAAAGAATGGGCCACTTACAAAGTTGCCAGAATGATATGATAATATAAAGTGTTACTTTATAAAAATTATGAACGTTTGAAATAGTTTCTATCGGACGTGCCAACAATTATACCGAAGACTATCCCTTGTCCACAAAGATAAAATATAGCTAAATGATAAAGCCAAAGTTGTTAACGGAAATGGGGAAATTTAGCGTCCCTTTCTCTATCCCCCAAAACATACACCAATGACCTTATATAAACGTGGGGGAACACAGAGTACGCTTTCATCATCATAAAGTGCCAGATGGGAAACTGTCATAAACGATTATGGTTCTCCGTTCATTTCTCACTCGGATGCTCCCAAAAGACCTCATATCATTATGATGCTTACCTGCCACCCAAGCGTTCAGGTTTTTCAAATAAGTTACCCCTTCCTCGTTTGCCTTCTATTTTTCTTGTGATAGCAAGATGGTAAAAGCATTTTTGTCGTTTCCCTTGCCCCTAAGACTTCACACTACAAACCGTTAGCGTGAGCAAACAAGGGCTGATTATATTCCTCACAGTCTCCTCAAATATATAGAGAACGGACGAAACTATGAGGAATATAACAATTTAATAGCACTTGCTTGCTCACGCTCGCTTTTATAGTGTAAAGCCCTCTTTGTATACTCGGCCTAGTATCATGGGATATTTTGGGACATAAAAAATGAACCCATTGACTTGGACTGTAAAACTAATCTTCGAGAAAAACACTGAAATATTGGGTATTTGGACGAAGATTGGTAAACTGAATTGATCAGAATATTTAAACCTAGTTTTGGAACCGAAGTTAGAGTGTTAAAGCCGCACGAGAGCTCTTGCTAACTGATGCCATTTCGTATCATTTTCCGGGCAGTAATAATATATAATACACTGAGTTTGATTTCATAGGATATGAATTGCGCTAATTCCTTCACTCCCAAATAGATAGATAGATAGATAGATAGATAGATAGATAGATAGATAGATAGATAGATAGAAATAGATAGATAGATATATTGATAGATATGTAGATAGCTAATAAATGAATGAATGGATAAATCAATGAATTAATGAATAAATGAATAAATAAATAAATACATAAATAAATAAATAAATAAAATAATAAATAGATGAATAAATGAATAAAAGAATAAATAAATAAATAAATAAATAAATAAATAAATAAATAAATAATTGAATAAATAAATGAATGAATGAATGAATGAATGAATGAGTGAATGAATGAATGAATGAATAAATAAATACAACTGCTTGTAACTGATTGTACCCGAGAACCCCTCTCACCTGAGTGGTCCCAGGCTGGATCCACGTTTGTGTTGTCGTTGTGTGACCGCACACCTTTCCCATTGGCCACTTTTCTGGACGGTCAAAGGAGCAGACACTATTGTTATTATCATTATTATCATAATAATAATAATAATAATAATAATAATAATAATAATAATAATAATAATAATAATAATAATAATAATAATAATAATAATAATATAATAATAATAATATTTATTATTATTATTATATTATCATTATTATTATTTTTATTATTATTATTATTTAAAATTATTATTATCATTATTATTATTATTTTAAAAAAATAATTTATATCATCATCATTATTATTATTATTTCATTATTATTATTACTATGATGATAATGATGATGATGATGATGATGATGATGATGATGATGATGATGATGATGATGATGATCATATTATAATAAAAGCTACAGAACACACACACACACACACACACACACACACACACACGCACGCACGCACGCACGCGCATACATACACACATACGCACGTACGCACGCGCACATACACACACACATACACGCACACATTAACACACACCGACACAAATACACAGAGAAACACACATACTCACACATAAACACGCGTAACCCCCCCCCCCCCCCCGACACAAACTAAATATTCAAACAGGCACGATGCTTTCAGTGCCAATAGGCCTACAACAATATAATTGTTTATTAATAATAATAAGAAGAGCATTTGTATCCCGCCTTTCCCCACAGCATGGGCCCAAGGCGCACATAGGAGATTAAAAACGCATTCATACTAACACCATACAAATTCATCATGTGCGCACTTTTTGACAGCAACATTCTTTCCGACAATATAAAATGCTAATACAAAAAGGCAAAGGTACAGTCCATTAATTAATTGAAGATGATACCTCAGTTTAGCATTGCCCCCATTTTGGAGCTCTTCGAACTGTCCACACTTCAGGAAATTTGTGAGAAAATCCTTTGATCCTACGGACGCAGAAAAAGGAGATGAGATGTTTCAATAATGGACAATAATACATGTGATGGAAACATATGAACATAAGTATACCACTGGTTAAGAAAAGTTTTAATTGAAAGAAAACGAGATCATAAAAAGAGCAATGATATGAATTTACGCCCCCCCCCCCCAAAAAAAAAATAAAAATAATAAAAAAATAAAAAAATAATAATTTATGCTGGATTAGCCCACAGCTTTGACTTCATTAGCACGACAAGATTGTTGCACTCCAATACACGTTTCTTTAGTGTTTGGTTAGAGACTGAAGTGTTAAGGTAGAAAAACAAATCAAAGTTCTTATTCATTCGTTATTCTTTTTACGGTATCAGTCTATCGTTGCTGGCTTTGAGATTTTTCTGTAAGGCACTAAATTGCAACTATTGTCTTCAGAGACAGAGAGAGAGAGAGAGAGACGGAGCGAGACAAACAGACAGACAGACAGACAGACAGACAGACAGACAGACAGAGAGGGGGGGGAGAGGAGAGAGAGAGGGAGAGAGAGGGGAGGGAGGGAGAGAGGGGGGAGAGGAGAGAGAGACAGAGAAAAAGAGAGGAACAGAAAGAGAAAGATATATAGATAGAAACAAAGACAGGTATGGAGAGAGGCGGATAAAGAGAGAGAGAAAGGGACGTACAGAGACCGGGAGAAATACTAAAGATGGAGACAGGCGTAACGATGCAGGGAGATGGATATAAAGAAAAATTAATTAATATAGAAAAAGAGGGAGGGGGGGGGGGTGGGGTAGTGAGAGAGAAAGGAAGGAAGAAATGGACAGAGAATGAGAGAAAGGAAGAGAGAGAATGAAGAAAGAGAATGAAACAGATAGATAGATAGATAGATAGATAGATAGATAGATAGATAGATAGATAGATAGATAGATAGATAGATAGATAGATAGATAGATAGATAGATAGATAGATAGATAGATAGATAGATAGATAGATAGATAGATAGATAGATAGATAGATAGACGCTGGGCTGAGAGAAAGCATAAATGTATTTATTTGGTAAAATATAAAAACGACTACCTCTTTTCAAAGCCTCGGGAAATCGACGGGCATGGTTCTCACGGGTTACCTCCAACATCATCACTTGGCTGGAGAGACACTTTTGACTTTTCTTACATAAAAACACTGACCCTGTCCTGTTGTTGGAATACACTTGCTGACCTGTGACAAGAGAAAATAAAGACATGTGGGCACATGTGATCGTGTAATGTGTGCGTGAGTGTGTGTGTGTGTGTGTGTGTGTGTATGTGTGTGTGTTTGTGTGTGTATGTGTGTGTGTTAGTGTGTTAGTGTGTATGTGTGTGTGTTAGTGTGTTAGTGTGTATGAGTGTTAGTGTGTGTGTGCGTGTGTGTGTGTGTGTGTGTGTGTGTGTGTGTGTGTGTGTGTGTGTGTGTGTGTGTGTGTTGCGTGCGTAAATATTGTTAGTACATGCATTTATATAAAGCGTCTAGGGCTGTGTTTACACGGGAGTGGGCGCTATAGAAATGATCTTCATTATTATTATTATTATTATTATTATTATTATTATTATTATTATTATTATTATTATTATTATTATTATTATTGAGTACAAAATCAGTCCAAACTATGCATTTATTCAGCTTTATTCTGCAATAAAAAAAAAACGTTTTGACTGATGCGGATCAGGATATAAATTCAGTGGCTTAATAATGTAACCTGTCGGTACACTTAATTCTTGTTGAACACCTCCTTCTTTGCCTCTTAGAAATACTATGTAGGTCTGTGCAAAAGTAAAGTCTGCACATTATTGTAAGTTATTGTGTATTGACAATAGTAACAAACATAAAAAAGAAGGAGGGGAGATAAGGACGATAGATTTTTTATAGGAAAGAAGAAGCAAACCACACAAGAGCACCCGCCAACCACCCACCTGAAACCCTACTCTTGGAGCAGATCGGAAGAATCTTACACCGGGAGGAAGTAGACGGAGCAGACAGCAGTATAAAATTTATCAACCAATCATGTGTGTGTCATAACAGTTTTGAATTTGTTCTCTATTGAGCTAACTCAAAAAGACCACATCCTGACAAATCTGATAGTCAGACAAACAAACATACAAAGAAGCAAACAGGCAAACAAACAAACACACAAACAAACAAACAAACAAACAAACCAACAGGTAAACGAACAGACAAAGAAACAACAAGCAAACCAATAGAAAAATAATATTCCAGACTCCTGAAAAAGCATTAAATTCAGATTTCGAAACATCTATTTCGTCTTTACAGGTACTTGTTCACTTGACGTCACTTGACGAAGTAAACAGACTATTGTGGATTCTTGAGACATCACACCGGCGTCTGTGATGTAGTAGTTAGGCGCTTTGCAGTCGCAAATAGAAGACCCGAGTTCGACTTATCGAGTGCCTCTGTCTTTCTGTCGGAACGTTGTATCCCTCTCGGGTCCGGGTTAACTTTGTCAGGCAGAGTTGAGGCCCACCTTCTACGTTATCTAAATGGTTTCGAAGAGAGTTTTAAATCAAATACAATTATTCCAAAGTTTTTGTTTCCGTCGTTGTTCCCAGGAGAATTTTGGGTTTTATGAAGGCCATTGGCCTTTATGGCAAATTGTAAAATGAAATCGTACTATTAAAATTTTTATTGTTACTTTTAAGAGTTGTTTTAAATTGAAAATATATTCACACTGAATTTTAATATTTTAGTATTTTAAAAGCCAAATAGTTAACCAATCGTGCAGTGAACTTTTGCGAAAGTAAACAACTTGTGTTTCACGCGCTCATATGACCTTACGCAGTTGCGAGCGCCGTAAAACCCTATACTACTACTACTACTAATTTTTTGTTAGTAGACAGTGCAACTGAAGACCCACAACATCCCATCCACCCAGCCAGACCATCCAGCTTCCCAGAGACCGAAGCTCTTTCTCTCCACGACGCCCCAGATGGTACAAGAGGAAGGATAAAGCAGCAGAAAAAAAGACATTAAAACAATGACGATTTCAGCAAATCCTACCTGAAATAGTTTCCTTCGAAAGAATTTTCATCGCTGCCAAAGTATCTAGAAGTCGCTTCAGTACCAGTGGGTCATAGTTCAATTCACTAGCCAGGTCTTTTGACGTCACAGGCTTATGGAATGACTCCAGGTCATCGAATATGCCAACTTCCAAAGCCACTTGGAGAATCTGTCAGAATATGCATCGATAGGTTGTAGCGTCTTGGTCTGTCTGTCTTGTTGTCCGTCTGTCTGTCTGTCTGTCTGTCTGTCTGTCTGTCTGTCTGTCTGTCTGTCTGTCTGTCTGTCTGTCTGTCTGTCTGTCTGTCTG